TATTTTGTTGAGTATTTTTGCATCTACGTTCATCAGGGATATTGGTCTGTAGTTTTCTTTTTTGGTGGGGTCTTTGCCTGGTTTTGTTATTAGGGTGATGTTGGCTTCATAGAATGAGTTTGGGAGTATTCCCTCCTCTTCTATTTTTTGGAAAACTTTAAGGAGAATGGGTGTTATGTCTTCTCTGTGTGTCTGATAAAATTCCGAGGTAAATCCATCTGGCCCGGGGGTTTTGTTCTTGGGTAGTTTTTTTATTACCGCTTCAATTCTGTTGCTGGTAATTAGTCTGTTGAGATTTTCTGTTTCTTTCTGGGTCAGTCTTGGGAGGTTGTATTTTTCTAAGAAGTTGTCCATTTCTCCTTGGTTTTCCAGCTTGTTAGCATATAGATTTTCATAGTATTCTCTAATAATTCTTTGTATTTCTGTGGTGTCTGTCGTGACTTTTCCTTTCTCGTTTCTGATTCTGTTGATGTGTGTTGACTCTCTTTTTCTCTTAATAAGTCTGGCTAGAGGCTTATCTATTTTGTTTATTTTCTCGAAGAACCAGCTCTTGGTTTCATTGATTTTTTTCTATTGTTTTATTCTGCAAGCATTTGTTTTTTTCTTTTCTTTTTGTAGCCTTTCTAATGGGTGTGAAGACAGTACAATTTACTGAATATTGAAGGCAATCTTATATAATCATCCTGTTTTAAACAGATGATTTTAAAATAATGTCTCTAGTTGTTTTCCCATGTTTCATCCAGTTGGGAGCTATTTGATTTTTTATTATTATCATTCCATCTTTTTCTTGATTCACAATGCTAATCTTTTTCTGTGCTCAGCCAGGAGGTGAGAGACTATCTTGTAATTCCCTGCACTGTGGCTTTCTCAAACTAGATCCCATATAAATCTTCACAGGTACAGATGTTGGAAATAAGACTGTCACCTGAGTGAAATATTCAAGAGTGTAAGGCTGGAGGCACCGGAGAGAGGAGTGAGCATGTCAGATGAGCTCAGCCCTAACCAAATAAAAGGGAGCAGCAAGGCCCCCAGCCCCGGCCTAGTAAGGGAAAGAGACCAACAGATTCTGGACTGATGACATGCCAAAATCCCCATCTGCTTCCCCCTCCCAACCTGGAAAAGGTGCCTTAGGTAGCCAATCCTCATGCCACTGTAAACCTATGCTCTTCCTCCCCCTGACTTCTTTAAACATTTGCTGCCTGCCCTGCTGGGCGCGACTTCTCCAGCCTGTGACTAACCAGACCAGTGAACATTGCCCGGGATTGCACTCTATTAAACTTTTGGCTCCTTTGTAGCCTCCTTCCCTGGTTATTTTGGCTCGATTGTACCTTACAGCTGGTACTGAAACCTGGGAAGGAGATAAGGTGCGGATCTCCAGCCGGCCACTGGCAGCTCCCACCCCTCCTTCCCCGATCTGGGACCTCCACCTACTCTCAGCACCTCGGACAGAGATTCGGTGAGTCCCTCCTTTCCAGCAGTCTGTTTTCCCAGTCCTGTCTCCACCTGGTTCGAAAACATAGCTATCTATATCCAGGTTCTCCAGGCATTAAGCCTGTCCTGGTCCCGAGATAGAGGAGACGTCCTCATCTGGGCTCCCAAATCTCTGGGGAATAGTACGATACTTCCCTGTCTCCTCCTAACCTGAGCGAGTTTTGGACGCTGGGCTCGCCAGTATAGGGGCTCCGGGAAATGGATAACAGACATGGGGTACCAGTCCTCTAAATCGGAGGCTCAGACCCCTCTGCAGTGTCTCATATCCAATCTGGTGACCCTAGATATAGTAGAGGAGATCCGTAAATGGAAACTGGTCCGACTCTGTTCTCAGACTTGGCCCCAGTATCCTCTAGACAATCAATATCACTGGCCCTCAGAGGGAACTTTTGATTTTAGCCTCCTCACTGACTTAACTAATTTCTGTCACCAAACTGGGAAGTGGTCTGAAGTCCCATATGTCCAGGCCTTTTGGACATGCGCTCCCACCCAGAACTTTACGTTAAGTGTTCAACGACCCAGGTTCTCCTGGACTGATCTCCAGTTAAGGATTGCCAGCCTCTTATTCTGCCCAGTCCTTCCTCCTTTTCAGATCTGCCAGGGGACCTCGGTTGCCCACCTCCCTCACCTCGCGATCCCCTTCCCCTCTCTCTCTGCCACCATCTTTAAGTTCTTTGTCCTCACCAGCGTCGCCGCCATCTTTAGGTCCTTCATTCTCAACCATGCCGTCTTCCTGCTCCTCTCCTCTTCCAGTGTCTGTGCCACCCACTCCCCGTCTCCTTCCACCTTCAGCAGTCTCTTTCCCCACCAGAACAGGCTCCTCCTGCCCTCCGGTTCTGAAAACCGCGGACAAGACTCCTCCCAGCACAGACCCACCTCCTTTCTCTCCCGACCCTACACCTCTCCCTGCACCTGCCATTCCCCGTTTGTATCCTCCTCTCCCAGCATCGCCACCATCTTGTCCTTCACTTCCTGTTCCCACCCCACCGCCATCTTATGTGTCCATGCCGCCCTTAGCGCCCAGTTGGTCTAGCCCTCTGGTTACCAGATCCAAGGCCCAGCAGCCACCCCAAACAAAGGCCCAACTAGTAGCCCTTCTCTGAGAGGTGGTGGGGTCAGAAGGGGTTGTCCAGGTTCACATCCCTTTTTCCCCAGGGAACCTATCCCAGGTTGAGAAACACCTGGGCTCTTTTTCCTCTAACCCCACAGTTTATACCAAAGAGTTTGACTACCTAACTTGGGCCTACAAACTTACCTGGCATGATATACATGTTATCCTAACCTCCACTCTTACCTCTGAGGAATATGACCATGTTACCTCAGCCGCCCGACATTGTGCAAATGAAGCACATAACACGGATCAGACTGAGCCAATTGGAATGGAAGCAGTTCCTCTCATGGACCCCCATTGGGACTATAATACCCAAGACAGGAATGCTCTGGAATTTACTGGCAGGTATGAATAAGATAGCTCAAAAAGCCATTAATTATGATAAGCTGAGAGAGATTACTCAGAGACCTGATGAAAACCCAGCCTGTTTTCTTAACTGGCTCACAAAGGCTCTCTCCATACATACCCACCTTGACCCCAACTCATCATTGGGGTCCACGGTGTTGGCTACTCATTTTATTACCCAGTCAGCCCTGGACATAAGACATAAGTTATAAAAGGCAGAGGAGGGGCCCCAGACTCCACTCCATGACCTGGTAACCATGGCCTTTAAAGTCTTTAATACCTGTGATGAAGAACATGAGAGGAGGATAGCATCCTGGACCCGAGCCTTCACAGCAGCCCTACGGCCGGCAGAACAGGGGTCTCATCACACCAAAGACTGGTCCAGAGCTTGTGAGCCTCCAGGATCTTGCTTCCAGCATGGCCAGGAAGGCCACTGGGCAAATAGATGCCCCAGTCCGACCAATAAGCCGACCAAACCCTGCCCAGTTTGTGGTAAGAGAGGTCATTGGAAGGTAGAGTGCCCGGTTGGGGAAGGTCGTACCCCCATGACAGAGTCTCGTGGGAGGCAGGCCCCCCTGAGGGACTCCCCTCTTGACCTGCTGGGCCTACTCGAAGAGTGAAGATGCCTGGACTTGAATACCCCTATCACTTTTGCCGAGCCCAGGGCCACACTGTGGGTAGCGGGTAAGTCCATGTCCTTTTTGGTGGACACGGGGGCTACCTACTCTGTTTTACCTTCCTTTCACGGGCATTTACATCTTTCCCAGGTCTTGGTAGTGAGTGTCATGGGAATACCCTTAAGCCTCTGTAGACAGGTCCGGTAGCCTGCACGTTTGAGGGGCATCCTCTTACCCCCTCATTTCTACTTATCCTGTCCTGTCCAATCCCTTTGTTAGGGAGGGATCTCCTATCCAAGCTTGGTGCCTCTATCTCCCTGCCACTTAGTCATCTTCAACCAAACTCACTCATTGCCTTAGCCAGTATAAGTTGTGGCCCTGAGGCCTCCACAGACCCTCCTGTACCGTCGGCCGGCATTAACCCGATGGTCTGGGACACCTCTACTCCTGTAGTGGTGAGCCATCATGCTCTGGTTCTCATCCACCTCAAGGACCCATCCTCCTTTCCTTCTAGGCCCCAATTTCCTATTTCCCAAGCCCATCACAAGGGCACCCAACCTATCATTAACCATCTTCTTTCCCAAAGGCTTCTGGTACCAACTAATTCTCCCTGTAACACTCCAATCCTTCCTGTCAAGAAGCCATCAGGGGCCTACCAGCTTGTTCAGGACCTGCGGATAATCAACGAGGCTGTGGTCCCTCTTCACCCAGTCATCCTTAACCCTTATACTCTCTTGTCTCAGGTTCCCCCAGACACCTCCCACTTTACAGTTTTAGACCTTAAGGATGCATTCTTCACCATCCCTCTACACCCTGATTCCCAGTTACTGTTTGTCTTTACCTGGGAGGACCCAGACACCACCGAACTAGACAACTGACTTGGACGGTCCTCCCTTGAGGCTTCCAAGACAGTCCTCACCTTTTCAGACAGGCACTGGTGGAAGATCTGTTCCATCATGACACAGGAGTCAGCACTCTCTTACAGTATGTCGATGATCTCCTTCTATGTAGCCCCACAACAGAGGCCTCTGTTCAAGACATGGCTTCCCTCCTAAACTTCCTGGCTCAGCAAGGATATAGAGTCTCTCCATCAAAAGCTCAGTTATCCACCCTACAAGTTACATACCTCAGAATGGCCCTAACTCCTTCTTCCAGGGCACTCACGGTGAACCAAACAGCCTCTATTAGAGCTCTTCTATCACCCACCTCAAGAGCTGAGATCTTGTCATTTCTCGGATTGGTGAGGTTTTTCCGACACTGGGTCTGTATGCTGCTGCCAAAGAAACGCTCTCTGGACAACTCACCTCTCCTACAGCAGTGGCGCATGCTTTTGAAGAACTGCGAAATGCCCCCCTTTCCTCACCCCCACTTGTCCTTCCTAACCCTAACAAACCTTTTCTTTTATATACTACAGAAAAGACAGGAATAGCAACTGGGGTACTGGTCCAGCCAGTAGGACCCAGACACCAACCGGTTGCTTTCCTGTCAAAACAACTGGATCCCACCGCCAAGGGGTGGCAACCCTGCCTTAGAGCCCTGGCAGCAACAGCGTGCCTCGCCAAAGAAGCTCTGAAACTAACCCTCCTACAGGCGGTAAACGTATACTCTTCTCATCGTTTACAGGACCTTCTGGCGCCACAAATTCTTGGCCTCTCTCAGCCCATCACAAGTGCAGGAATTTCACCTCCTATTTATTGAACACCCCCAGTTAACTTTACAGGTGTCACCACCATTTCACCCAACCACCCTCCTTCCTCCCACCAGTTCATCTGCCATGCCCAGCCACTCCTGCACAGAGCTGGTGGAAACCCTTCGGCTCCCGCACGAGGGTCTCCAGACATGCCTCTCACTAACCCAGACTTAACTCTGTTCATGGATGTAAGCTCAGTCAGGGATTCAAATGGCTGCAGGCAGGCGACCTACGCGGTGGTTTCCTCCTCCCCAGAAATAGTGGAGGCGGCTCCCCTGCCGATGGGTACCACCTCCCAAAAGGCAGAACTAGTAGCCCTCACGTGAGCCTTACAGTTGGCGACGGGTCTTAGGGTAACCATTTACACCGACTCAAAGTATGCTTTCCTAATCACACACAGCCATGCAGCGATCTGGAAGGAAAGGGGATTCCTCACTACCTGAGGGACCCCAATTGTAAATGGTAAAGCAATTCATCACCTGCTCCACACCTTACAGGAACCCAAGGAGGTGGCTATTGTTCATTGCCGGGGACACCAGACAGGTACCAACCCAGTCACCATAGGGAATGCTCTAGCAGATGCTACTGCCCAACAACTGACCTCAGGCCCTGATTACTCCCTGGTATTGTTTCTCTCCCCCTCTATAACTCCTAATTACTCCAAGGAGGAAAAACAACAACTCTTAGACCAGGGTGGAATGGCTGGACAACAGGGATGGATACATCTTAAGGACAGGATAGACCTTCCCCAGGCCCAGGCCAGGGAAATCATATCTACTGTCCACCAATTCCTCCATATTGGTCCGGACGCTACGTACAGGTTTCTCTCCCCTATCTTTGCCCCACCTGGGCTCCAAAAGACCATTAACCAGGTACATAAGGCTTGCACCACGTCATCATGTTTCTTCTCAAGGTGCCCTCAAACGCCGTATGGTCCTCCACCAGCTGCAGGGGGGCACTACCTGGACAGGACTGGCAGATTGATTTTACCCACATGCCTAAACACAAGAAACTCAGATATTTACTGGTCATGGTTGATACATTTTCAGGTTGGATCGAGGCCTTTCCTAACTGCCAAGAGACTGCGTCAGTGGTGGCAAAGACGTTGGTGGAACACATCATCCTTCGTTTTGGCCTCCCAACGTTGCTCCAGTCAGACAACAGACAGGCTTTCATCTCAAAGGTCACATAACTGGTGACTGACTCTCTAAATATCTCCTGGAAACTACAAATACCCTATCACCCTCAATCCTCGGGTAAGGTGGAAAGGGCCAATGGCCTTCTCAAGGATCAACTTACCAAACTCTCCTTAGAGGTAAAGACCTCTTGGCCAGATCTATTCCCAATTGCTCTCACCCAATTGCGAGCAGCCCCTAAGGGGGCCCACTGGACTAAGTGCCTTTGAGTTAATGTATGGTTGACCCTTCCTTCTAAACACAGGCCTGCCTACAACTCCACCCCCTCTAGCCTCCTACCTACCTTACTTCTCACTCCTAAGACATCTCAGGGAACACGCAGACCAGTTCCTGCCTCAACCCACCTCCCCCTCAGATCCAGGAATCAAGGAGGTTCTACAGCTGGGAGACAAAGTCCTTCTTAAAGAACTTCAACCTCCGTCACTCCGCCCACGGTGGATGGGACCATACACGGTGATCCTTACCACTCCCACTGTCAGTCCCCTCCATTCCTCTAAGCCGCAGACAAGGGAGAAGACACGATGAGTTGTCGAAGACCTGAAAGGACCAGCCAGGGGGCTCAAGGTGTAACAGCTCAAGAGCAATGCTGAGAAAGCATTTCTCATATTTATTGAATAAATGAACTTACAATGAACTCAAACATCATTATCCGGCCTTGAGTGTAGCCCAAGGATGCGACGCTTCTCAAGGATACCAAAACTGTGTGAAGATGGCTCCGAGCCATGAGAACTGCTTTGGTTCTCATCACTCAGTCCTTGATTACACATCAACAGAGTGTGTGGGAAAAACAATCAAGTCGTGTGCTTATACATTTGACTTCTACCTTACTTGAATTATGTATTAACCCCATCAATCCCACATATCCCCCTTTTCTTTTAAGTAATACAAAGATATAGGAATATAAGTAGACCAGTTCTAATCGATTTTTTGACATAGTATAGTTCTTTACATTCTACAGTATAAAATAAAAGTCCATGGTTTGAACTTATGTAAAGGAGAGTAAAGATAGAAAATAAATGTAGTGCAATTAGAAGGTAGGTGCAGGTGAGCAGGTCTATGCCTATAGACTGCGTTTTGATCTGAGCTGGGCAAGGGCAACAAAACATCCACGGGTGTGGAAGATTTCTTTTAAAACTGGGGGAGGGGGGGTTGAGGTTCTAAGCCTCACCTTTGTTGGCCCCAATCTCTCACCTGATGGCCCCCCTGCAACTGTACCTGTCTTAGATTGTTCCTCCCTTGAGGAATCTTACCCATCTCTGGCTAACCAGCTATCTTCTGGGGCCATACAGGGAGATGTAAAGTTGGTAAGTGAGAGAGAAGTAATATCCTTTGAAAAAGGTTAGTTTTCCACTTCTTTACAGATTTATGCCCTGTGACTTATGTCCAGCACTTGCTTTAAGACATCGTTGCCAGTGAAAAGGATTATGATACACAGCAATTTTAAATATAAGGCACAAATTCTAGTAAAGAGCTGTATTTTGAAAGGGAGAAAAAAAGCTATAGAATTAGCAGATGGAAGAGAATATGAGATTGATTATTTCTTTGAAGTGATTTCCTGTAGAGTAACATAAGCATGTATAGGTTTTAACAAACTACTAATTAAATTGCGTACACACATTAACAAAGCAGGAATACAGATACATAGTAAAAGCAGGCCTACAATTACTGGCCATATCCAACAAAACCAAGAAAACCAGTCAGGTAACCCAGGCATTTGTGAAAACTTATTGACAATATGATGGATATCATCTAATTGATTTTGAATAGTTTGAGAAAAATCAGACAAATTGAAACAACACATTCTTGGTAACTGTTCACATCCTACATGCTCTTTTAACAGCAGATAGTCTATAGAAGCACGATTCTGAAGCATTGCAGCTCGCACTTCTCCCAGTTCTTAGTGGAGTTCAGATCATATAGAAGCAGTCATATTTGTTGTTTTGCTATATGCACAGGCCAGCTGAGATATCTCTTCCTGCATTCCAACGACAAGTCCAGGAACTGGCAGGAGGAACGCAGCTGCACCTGCAACAGCGGCAGGATCTCAGAGTTTCAAGTTTTCATCACAGTCAGATGGCTGAGTTTGGAGAAGTCTCTTATGCTTATATCTGGATGGTCTATTAGAGCAGGAAGAATGCATCCCACACCACAAACACCTCGATAGTGTGAAGAAAGGGCTTGATATGTTTTGTCATTACACAAAAATACCCAACCACTTGGAAGTCTATATCCAGAAGACCATTTTACATTGATTGTAGAACTACAATAAGAGGGTACATGAGTACGATCAATACATACACAGTCAGTAATTATAGTAGTACTAACAGGTAAATTTAATTGGGCATCAGGAGTAAACATCTTAGGGGGAAGAGTGATATTTCTGTAACATAAAACATTCAGTAATAAAGTTTGGCATTATTCCTTTTGACAGCGCTTTCCAGGTAAATATATATGAGGTAAATAAGCCAAATTAGTCAAATATTTTCCTTGATGGGGAGAAGAAATTCCTCTGACATGTTTCAGGGGCCCTCAGGAAAATATCAGAGTTAATTGAGAGGTAAAAATACTTTTTTAAATTTGATCTTGGGAAGTTGTCAAAAGTTTTTAAGGCACTTGCCTAAATAGAATTATACTTATTAAATAACACTTATTATTTAACCAGAATGATAAGAAAGTTTAAAAGCAAATGCAGAAGGTTACATAGTTGTTAACAACACTTAGCTTAGTCTTTTTAATATTAGGATCTCATTTTCTTAAATATTCAGACAATTCATTAAGACTTTAAGCATAAGAAACTGTTTTAATAAACAATTAGAAAACTTTTTGCAATCTTTCAACATTAAAGGTAGACTAATAAACTTATGTTCTTTTAACAAACAAAAATTATAGTCTCGCTATGTACTTGATATCAAGATTTCTTTGCTTTAATTTCATATAGCATGACTATATCAATCTTTTATAAACCTTTTACAACTTTCCTCTTTCAGTGTTTTCTTTCCTTGAACAGCTGTACTTTTGAATAGTCAGCTTCTTTTACTTTCAACACAATGCATTTTTATTCCTTATACCTTCTCTTATTGAAACACATTCTTTAGCATACAGACATGTTTTCCTTATTATATTAAGTAGTTTTAAAGAGAACTTAAAGCCATTTGGTACCTTAACCTTCAGTGAATGCTGAAAAATAGACCATTGTAAACTGTTACACCAGCATTCCTCAGATGGATACATTTATGAACATATTTTATCATTTTTGGAAATGTGCCTTACAGCACAATTTCTCATTAAGTACAAAATATGTCTATATAACTTAGCAAAACTTCAAGAATTTTGGTTACTACAAAAATTCTCAGGCTGTTTGCAAATATATACACTGTTATACACTAATACAGTATTATTATTAAGATGTTCATTTGCTACACTTGTTTACTTATTTTTAGCAAAACCATGCTGGATTACTTATAAAACTTTTACCAAACATCAGACAAAGTCAAACTTTTCTTTAAGCATCTTCTTGAAATATTTAACAGGTAACATTAACTTAAATGACTTTAAGTAAACTTTGGCAGCTGATAACTATAAGGACATGTCCATTTCAGTTAAACTTAAATTAGCATTAATGCTTAATATTTTTTATTAGATTTTCTGAAAGTTTTAGAATGCCCAGTTTTCACAAGCACTTGTTTTTAAATCAGTTTTTACTAATACCATCCGGAGGTAGGAAATATTTTTCATTTACACACATAGACACACAAACATAGACTGAGACATAATGACTACAGTTAGCAACACTTTCATACAAAAACATATACACAAACTGATATAAAGATTTGAGTCATTGATATTCAATTGACTTCTTTCTTTTTAGCTTACTTGATCAAAGTACTTCCGTTTTCAAGAATACCCAGTTTACATAACTGGTTTAAGGTTTAGATGGCTCCAGACTAAAAGGGCCAATGAAGGCTCTGAACTAATAGGGACTGTGTGCGTCCAGGGGGCTGGAAATGAAATGCAAGTACAATTTTAGTATGAGTCATTTAAAACCAGTCTGTATTGTAAAAGATAAATTTCTTCTATCTCAGGGACTCTATGTAATGCTGGAGGCACCAAGGGAAGGAGTGAGCCTGCTGGACAAGCTCAGGCCTCACCAAACAAGGCAAAGACACCAACAGGTTCAGGTCTGACAACATTCCAGAAACTGATCAGATAACATTCCTAACTAGAGCCTTCCCCAGGCTAGAAGAATAGTGGTAACTGTCTAGTACCTGGCTAAAAGCCAATGAGAGACCTCCATGTACCCTAGGTGAGCCAATCCTCACTCCACTGTATACCTTTGCTCTCCCTCCCCCTTCCTTCTTAAAAAACTTGCTGCCTGCCCTGCTGGGCGTGACTTCCCCAGCTTCCATTTCTGTAGACTGGGAAACCTCGCCTGGGAACTGCACTCAAATAAACTACCTAGCCCTTTGTTACCTCTCTTCACCTGCTTATTTCAGCTAGAATTTATCTTACACTCTAGTTTAAAACTTCCCAATTTTCAAAGATAATGATGAACCTAGTAAGTAGAATAGATTTTCACTAAAAGAATTTTAGAAAACTAGTTTCATATTGTAGTAGTTCATGGGACTTTTGACTATTTTGCTTGTGGCAAATATATTTAGCTGCATAACATTATATTACATACTTCTTTCAGGGGCCAAGCTTTGGTTCTCATCACTCAGTCCTTGATTACACATCAACAGAGTGTGTGGGAAAAACAATAAAGTCATGTGTGCTTATACAGTTGATTTCTACCTTACTTGAATTATGTATTAACCCCATCAATCCCACACCCACAGCTGCCAAGCTATTGGGACACTCCCTGTGGTAACACATCTCCAGACTCAAACAAGCGCCCAGTCATGATAGGTAGAGCTCTAGAGAGACGGGGCCCCTCCGTTTGCACCTTACTTGCACTAGTGCTGGCCACAACCACCCACCCAGCTCTAGCAAACTGGGTCTGTAACGTGCATCACATCAGGTATGCTCCAACTACACCAATGGGTCCCCAAGACATGTTACTTTCAAAAGATATCATGTCAGCAGGGAGACCAATTGTACTGGGCCGCTATAATGTTAAGAGATTTCCAAACTGGCTGCCCAGGAAGAGTCGGCAGGACCATTGGCTGGGTACAAGACCCTCCACCAAATCGCCAAGGAAAGATACCCCTTGTCCTGCCCAATGCTCGTCTATCCATTCCTTTGTCCAGGCTGCCTTCTACGAACGAGCCTCGGTCTGCCTCTCATCTTCTGGACAACAGTACTGGATGGGGCGAAGCCTGGGCGATCATGCTGGATATGTCTGTCCTGGGAGATGAGCACAACACATTTGGTGGAACCTACGGCCACCGATTGAGAGGTCAGATGGTGGAGGTGCAGAAGACTATGCAGAAAAACAAAATACTCAACGGGTCATAGAAAAATTAATCCAACAGTTTAGTAGGCCAATAGTAGTAAGACCCCATCTTCCCAAACCTTGAGGCCCTTACCAGGCACACCCGGGGCTTCTCTCAATCCTCAATAAAACCCACTCTCTACTTAATTCCACAAACCTCAGTCTAGCCAAAGACTGATGGCTGTGTTTGAGTTCTGGTCCCACCTGGGTCTTGGCGGTTCCCGTTACTGGGAATTGGACACCTACACAGCCTACACAATGCTTATTGTCTCCTCCCCATGTCCTCCCATTCCTTTACCCTCTGACTCTCCTGCTGCCCAATGACTCTCCTGCCACCCTGAAATGACTCCCAAGGGGTAGGCTGGGTCCCTCCACAAGCCTGCTCCAGGACCCTGGTGATTTCCAGTAATCAAACCCTCTGCCCTCCATTAAATGGGACGGCCTTCCAGTATGGAGCCACCATTTACCCACCTTGCCCCCAGAGTGGTCTGGATCCTGTACCCTGGTGATTCTCCTTCCTTCCATCTCAATAGCACCCGGAAATCAGAGCCTGCCAATCCCCCTGATTGGTTCCTCTATTACATGGACAAAGAGGGCAATCGAACTCATACTGTTAATGGTTAGGCTAAGCATCACTGCGGCAGTATGGATGGGGCAGCAGGACTGGCGCCCTTGCTTCATTTTTATAAACAACTATCACCACAACTAATAGAATACATACAAGTGGCAAACACGGTTCTAGATTTACAGACACAACTAGACTCCCTTGCTGACATGGTCTTCCAAAACTGGAGGGACCTAGATTTACTAACAGCTGGAGATGGAGGAATATGCCTGTTCCTGAAAGAAGAGTGTTGCTTTTATGCCAACAAGTCAGGCATAGTCAAAGGATCAAACAACTACAAGAAAACCTTCAAAAACGCAGAGAAAACCTAACTAAAAACCCTTTCTCTGGATGGTGGCCATCTCAACTCCTACCTTGGCTCCTCCCTGTTATATCCCCACTAATCATTGTATTTATTCTTCTGTCAGCAGCTCCTTGTATTCTTAAGTTCCTACAACACCTGGCTGAACTATCTCACGTCGCGGTAAACCAAACGCTGGTACATCAGTATTTGCCCCTTCCCTCCAAGCCTCCGGTCTCTCACCAGCTCTAACCCTGCCCACACCACCCCTCCTCAGCTGGAAGTAGCCAGATCGAGTCGGCGCCCATTATAACCAAAAGGCTGGAATGTAAGGCTGGAGGCACAGGAGGGAGGAGTGAGCACGTCAGATGAGCTCAGCCCTAACCAAATAAAGGGGGGCAGCAAAGCCCCCAACCCCCGCCTAGTAAGGGAAAGAGACCAACAGATTCTGGCCTGATGACACGCCCAAATTCCTGGCTGCTGCCCCCTCCCAACCTGGAAAAGGTGCCTTAGGTAGCCAATCCTTGCGCCACTTTAAACCTATGCTCTCCCTCCCCCTAACTTCTTTAAAAACTCACTGCCTGCCCTGCTGGGCGTGACTTCTCCAGCCTGTGACTAACCAGACCAGTGAACATCGCCCAGGATTGCACCCTTTTAAACTTTTGGCTCCTTTGTAGCCTCCTCGCCTGGTTATTTCGGCCTGATTTTACCTTACAAAGAGGCCTACTGTCCTGCCCTCAGATATTTACAGAAGACACTTCTAAGCTAGGAGTGATATCTGCACCACATTGTGATGGCTCTACTACTTGGGGGCTGATGGCTCCACTAGGGCTTTTCCAGCCCCTTAGGCACTCAGAACTTTATATATTATCTATTATGCATCTCCCTCGCTACGTTGTAAGCACCACTGAGATTTGGCACCCT